TGTGCATAATATGTTTAGGTAATGTGATCTATATCGAGATATGCTAGCCTAGTGTATATTAGTCAGCAGTATGGTGTCCACTTTTAATCTTCTTGCAGTGCCTGTGAAAAATACTTTTCACGTGGTGTTTGATATCCTTGGTGCTACTTGGAGTAGAATGTCCTAACTAGTTTTGGATAATTTTGCTACAGGCAGCTGAATTTGTGAGAGTGATGTCTGCCTCTTCTGAGAAAGATGACAAGTTGCATCAGATGCTCTCGGAGGGGTTTTCCTACTTTCATATCCACCCTATTCCTAATTCAGTTGTGGAGGCTACTGCCAGTAATGGGGAAAGCTCTGAACAATCATACTCCATCATAACTGATAAAAATGGGAAGATGCTTGATTCGTTGGAGAGGAAGGTGTTCTCTTCATCATCCCTCAGGAAGGTGTTCTCTTCATCATCCCTCAGGCAAATTATCAGACAAGTTACGCCTGCTACCAATTTCATTTATGGGAAAAGATTACATTATTTTTACAGGATTTACCTGACCGAAGATGATTGGTGAATCCCATATTAATGGAAGGCCAAAACATAGCCAAGTGTTCCCTTAGGGCCTCTTTTGAGACTTTGGACTCTGCTGCCAGAACCTTGGTATCTGCTCTGACCATCAGGAGGCATGCCTGGCTTGTTCTTCCTCCTTAGCCCTAGACACGAAAATTAAGTTGGAGGACCTTCCCTTTGAAGGGGAGGGTCTTTTCAGTGTGAAGACAGACAAGTTACTGGAAATATTAAAGGAAATGAAAGGGATAGCCACTGGTTGGGTTTGATTTCTTCTTGGAGACCCTCTACTTTCTGGTATCAGAGACAGCCCTACCCCCTAGTCTTGGACTTACTCTTAATCAGGTTAGAGACTTCAACAATACCAGCAGCCTGCACCCTTCCAGAGTCGTCATAATAAGAGGCTTTTCAGACTGATGTCTAAGTCTAAAGAACCCACATCCTCAGCAGCATCTTAGCCATGGAACAACAAGCCTCAGTTTTGATAAGATAATTGGCTCATTCCCAGCTCTCAATGAGCTCCAACCTGCCCTTCTTTGCAGAGGGGCTAGCTCACTTTATCAATGCATGGAGACTAATTATGCCAGATCAATGGGTTCTAGAGATTGTAGAAAGGGGCTATGCCATACAATTTGAAAGATTATCTCCCACACAATCTCCTCTACCCTTCTGTCTCCAGCAACCCCTCTCATGATGGTATTCTTCTTGCAGAAGTAGAAAAATTGCTTCTAATAGGAGCAATTGATGGGATCCTTGAATACCCAAGAATCAGAGCTTTTATTCCCATTACTTTCTGGTGCAGGAGGAGGACAGGGGACTTCGTCTGATTCTAGACTTATCGGAATTGAACAAGTACATTTGGAAGTTCCATTTCCACATGTTGACTTTGACATCCATAATCCCTTTGTCATTGGTAATGGATTAATTTGTGACTCTCTATTTAAATTATACGTTTTTCATATATTGATTCATCACACCCATTGCAAGTATCTCTGTTTTTAGTGACCAGATGGCATTTCCGGTACAAGATGCTTCCATTTGCCTCTCCATTGTGCCCAGAGTTTTCACAAAATGCCTCTTTGTGGAAGCCTCTCATTTGAGAAATCAGGGTATTTTTTGTTTACCCTTATTTGGATGATTGGTTACTAATGCTTGCTGTCTGTGAGGAATTGTTAAATCATATTGTTTTTACAGCAAGTCTCTTTTCAGATCTCTGGCACCTTCTGAACTGCCCAAAGTCAATTCTCTGTCCTACTCAGAGGATTCCATTTATAGGATCCATACTGTACTCTGTGAAAGGGAGAGCTTTTCTATCAGAGGACAAATTTCTCAAAATAAGTTAGTTTCTTTTAAAAATTCAACAGTGCTGCTGCTGCTCAGAGTAAAACCCTTTTTGGGTCTTATGGAAGCCACTACTTAACATGACTCCATTTGCTCGACTAAGAATGAGAAATATGCAGCATTGGATAACTTGAAACAAGATATACATCATGTCAGGACAGCCTCCATACGTTGATCACCATACCTCAGATCATCATAGCCTCCCTAAAATGGTGGTCAGTCAGAATGAATTTGTTTAGAGGTGTGTGCAGTTCAGTCCCCCAGACCTATTGCCAATGGTGATGTCAGATGCATCAAGAAAGGGCTAGGGAGCCCTTCTGAATCAGTTGACAGTTCAAAGGCTGTGGTCTTAGCAGGAGACAGCCCTGCATATCAGTGTGTTGGAATGAGAGCAGTTTGGTTAGCTCTCAAGTCATTTCTTCCTCTCCTACAAGGGAGAGTGGTGCAAGTGGTGACACACTGCCAATATATTGTCTATTACATCAACAGGCAGGGGTAGGGGGTGATCACTCCACTTTCCTGTGTGCACAGGCTATAAATCTATGGGATTGGTGTATCCTTCATGATGATTATCCTGTGGCCCTGCATCTGACAGGGAAAACAATGTAGGTGGAGATTGTCTCAGCAGAGACAGCTCTCAGATGCATGAATGGTCCCTAAAGGATTAATTGATTCAGACCATGTTCTCCAGCTGGGGTTGACCAGAGGTGGACCTGTTTGCAGTGAGGTCCAACAAAAATTGTCCCAGTGTGGGGAGGGACTGTCTATCCGATACTTTCCTTCTACACTGGAGAAAGGGCTGGATGTATGCCTTTTCCCCCTTTCCATTCATCCAGGAGCTACACCAGGACAAGATGATTCTTGTTGTCCTGGCTTGGCCATGTCAACAGCAGTTTACCGGTCTCCTGCAACAATCCGGGAGAATCTTTATGCATCTTCCTCTGTCTCGAGACTTCTTGTTTCAGCAGGAGGGCAAGATCTGTCACCTGGACCCAAAGTCTCTTCACTTGATGGAGTGGATGATAGGACATTAGGTTTGTCTGCTCTTGAGTAGTCGTGTTCTTCCCCTGTGCAGGATGTACTAATTATCTCCAGAAAACAGTCCACTAGAAGCTGTTACCATTTAAAGTGGACCAGATTTCGAGCATGGATGAAGGGAAAACCTGATTCTCCTGTATCCAGCTGTTTGGCGGCGCTTAGGACTTGGGGGAGAAGGGATGTGGCATGCTCCGGAGAGGAGGTGGAGTGGGGGTGGGAAGAGGTGGGCCTGGAGTAAAGCGGGGACAGGAAGAGGCGGGCCTGGAGCGTTCATGGCAAAATCCGAGCCTGTTCTCTGGGGAAGCTGCCGCTGTTGCAGCAAAGGTGCTTCCTAGCGTCCTTGCCTGAAGCGGGCTGTGCCTGTGTGGGGTAAGCCAGGGGCACTTCCCAACCATAGTACAGTACAGTACTGTACAGCATACAGTATAATGCCTTTTGTCTGCCCCCAAAAAATTTCCTTGGAATCTAACCCCCCGCATTTACATTAAATCTTACGGGACAATTGGATTCGTTTAACATTGTTTCACTTAAAGTTGCATTTTTCAGGAACATAACTACAACATTAAGTGAGGAGTTACTGTATATGGTTTCCTCCCAGACTGCATTTTGATGGATTAAACAACAAATTGCTGAATGTTATATGCTAGCAAAAGTTCCTGTACCAGCTTTGATTCAACCATATTCTAGTAGAGCTTGTGGCTACTTCCTTGTCTTGTCTTGCTGAAATTTGCAGAGCTACAACTTGGACTTCAGTGCACACTTGCTAAGGCACAGTGTTTTGGACCTGGCCTCTCAGACAGATGCTGGTTTTGGTAAAGTGGTGCTGCATCCCCTATTCAGTTAGGACTCTGTTCCTGCCTTCAGGTCAGTTTTCAGCATTGCTTAGCAAGCTATCCTGTAAGTGGAACTATGCAGAGCCACTCGAAGAAGTGAAGGTTTCTTACTTGTAACTGAGGTTCTTCAAGATGGCTCTGCATACATACACTTTCCACCTGCCTTCCTTTGTCTGGGTCTTTGTTCGGTGTATCTGGTTTTGTGGTGGTAGGAACTGATGTGGTAAGGGTGCTCCACCCCCTCTATAGCCTTGCCCTCAGAACGGTAGTGAAACTTAGGGGAGGGGTGGAGGATGCAAGAGTGAGTTAACTTACATTGCTAGAAGACTGTTCTGCAGCAAGACACCACAAAGTGGCTCAGTAGCCATAGGTGTGACTAAGAGCCATCTTGAAGAACCTCAATCTACAACCTCATAAATTCTTTGGCCTATGATGGGAGGTCATACTAGTTCAGGGGTGGGCAAACTACAGCCCGCAGGCCAATCCAGCCCCTCAGGGCTTTGGATCCGGCCCGCGGGATTGCCCCCCGTGGCGCTGTGGGCCCCGTGCTGCTCTCAGAAGCGATCAGCACCATGTCCCTGCAGCCCCCGGGTGGGGGGGCAGAGGGCTCTGTGCGTTGCCCTTGCCTCCAGGCACCACCCCCTGCAGCTCCCATTGGCCGGGAATGGGGAACCGCGGCCAATGGGAGCTTTGGGGGAGGTACCTAGAGGCGCGTCAAGGCTAGTGCACACGGAGCCCTCTGTCCCCCTTTCCCCCCAGGGGCCGCAGCGCTTCCTGGACAGCGCGGGGCCAGGGACAGGGCAGGCATGCAGGGAGCCTGCCCTGGCCCCAGCCCGCTGCTGCCACCCTGGGAGCTGCTTTAGGTAAGTGGCGCCAGACTGGAGCCCGAACCCCTGCCTCCCAACTCCCTGCCCTAAGCACCCTACCTGCACCTCGCACCCCTCCTAGATCTTAACTCCCTGCCCTGAGCCCCCTCGTACACCCTGCACCCCAACCCCTTGCCCTGAGCCCCACTCTGCACACCACCTGCACCCCGACCCCTTGCCCTGAGCCCCCTCCTGCACCCCAACCCCCTTCCCTGAGCCCCCTCAAACACCCCGCACCTCTCCTCTGCCCCAATTCCTTGTCCTGAACCCCTTCCTGCACCCCGCACTCCCTCCCACACCCCAACCCCCTGCCCCTGCCCTGCATACAATTTCCCCACCCAGATGTGGCCCTCAGCCCAAAAAGTTTGCCCACCCCTGGACTAGGTGATCTAATGGTCCCTTCTGGTCTTAAATGTTTTTTTAACTCGACAAAAATTTTGCAGAATTATAGCTTCCACTAATATACGGTTATGGGACTGCAATGATGGGAAGCTCTGCTAGCTAGAGAACATGGCCTTTGCTATTTAATTAGTCACATTATGTGCAGCTTTTCTTCTACGCAATAGATTTTGAATTTATATTTATTGCTTTAACAACTAGAAGACAAAACCAGAAAAAAGTCTAATCTACCTCATTATTGAGAAAAGCAAGACCAAAATCGAACAAACCCATATATAAATGGGAGAAAGCTATGATTTAGGAAATTTCTTTTTACTCTTATTACAAGAGGTAGGTTTTGGGGGCGGGGGTGCAGAACCCAGGAAATTAGTGTTGGTACCTATAAAGAACATTAGCATATGTCTGGCTATGTTCTGTTGGCTGCTCCTGGCCTTTCAACCATCCTGAGAACTTACTGAAGATGATTTCTGTATTGCATATCTTTGCAGGCAGGGTTTTTCTCTAAAAATACTTGATCACATTAGAAATCCCTTTTTCTTCACAGGCTTTTCTTCGGTGTGTGAAAGATTCAATTGTGCCACTCAGTTAATTCCCTGAGATTCAGTGAATTCTCTGACTACGTTATGCTTTTGGGTAATTGTCTGCAAAAACCCTATAAAACATGTAATTGGATTTGTTTGTATAACTCGTATGCCAAAATATTGCTCCATGACCTTTTACCATTGAGAGAGAATATTTTTCCTCACCTTGGAAAAATCTGTGACTGCTGAAAGTTTTATGGCACCCTACATTCCTTATTTTCCTGTTTTAAAAAGTAGTACTGATTAGTAATACCTAAATATAGTAGAGGACGAGTTAAGTGCACAGGTTCCAACTCTTAATAGGGTTTATAGGGCATCAGGAAGTTCATATAATACTTTCAAAAATAAGTACTGGGCCTTTCCCGCTCTTAAAATTGCATCCAGATGTGGCTCTCTAAACATGGCAGTGGCTTCACATGCTGATGTTTGAGGAGTGAAGAGGATGTGTTAAATCAGATGATGATGGTGATTTTGGCTGTTGTCTCATCCGTGAAGATCATGTCATTGAACTTCATGTTGCTTTCAAGCCATTCTAGGGCTTTGTTTGTTGCAACTGTTAGTACTTGCTGACCTCCTGAAGCAAAGGGCAATGTGTATTAAAAGAATATTCGATCTGTTATAGTTTTTACATTATTGTATTGTACATCATACTTTTTCATACATTTAATTTCAGTACTTATGCTTTATTTTATTACATTCAATGTCACTGTGTCTTTCTGTAGCACCACCTGTTCTTTTGATCAATTCAGTTCACATTTCTGGGGGTTATGCCCACCTCAAACTTTCTCCATGTATTCATTGATCTTAAGTGAAGCTCACAATCTTCTTTGAAATCACTTCTCTTTTTGAATATCACTTCAAGATAAAGAAAAAAACCAAAACTAGACCCAAACTGCCTTTTTATAGTACCATTTCTCTGTATTCACCATATGCATTTCCTTGGAGATCTCCTCTTATCCATTGCACGAAGGTCCAGTGACAAATATCTCAAAGGACTGGAACAAGAACTTTGGATACCCATCCCAGCAAGTAGTGTGTTCCTCTGTGTAGCATCTCCCAGAGAATAATGCTAAACTTTCAGCTAATCTTGACCAAGTTACAGCTGATAAAATTCCTCATATTTTCATGAAATTTGGTATACAGCTCTTTTTAAGTAATCTTTTAAACAGCTTGTGAGCCAAGATCCACCAATTAGTGGTCAAGCCTTGCTACTCCCAATCGTTCCAACAGAAGGCTGCTTGACTCACAAGTGGGGGACAAAGTCAGTTTCTTGGCAGTACCAGCTGGCATTCCATCGTGAACTAATTGCAGCATGTCAAGATGGAGCAGTCACAGATCATCCAATGAGACATGAAGGCTCTTCAGTTCCTTTGTGAAGACAGCGTAATCATGGAATTTATGGAAACAAGACATCGGAAGGGTGATGTTGAGGAAGGTGCCAAAGTAATACTTCACCAGAAATGTCCAAGAGATGACAGGCAGTGATTTGAAGTAAAAGTTCTCAAGATAGGAGGTACTGTAATTTGAACCACTATTCTCTGTGTTGTGTTCCACATGCTTGCTTCTGGGGCATGATGGAATACTACAAAAGTTCCACCATTTATTAACAACTAAGTTTCACCATTTCTCTTCCTAGATTTCCTCTTCTTTCAAGAGCATTGGAGATGTTGTGATGACTTTGAGATGGGACAAAAAGTCAAAAGAAAGCAAAGTAAAATGAAAATGTAGCTGAGAGAATAGACAAAATCAGGGCTATTGTTGGAAACCCAGTCCAGGAAATCTTGGAGTGCTGGAAGAGGAGAAAATGTATCATGAACACAGGGATTGGAAGTCTGAGGGTAAGACCTGGATATTGGCCTTAGTTCAGTTACAATGTATATTTCCTCATGTAGTCTCATTGTTTTAGCTAATTTCTTGATGATGATCTATTTTGAGACCAGAACATTGTTGCAGTTTTAGTTGTATACAGATTAAAACTGCCTCATTCAAGTCTGTGCTGGTTGGGTGGGTTTAGTCAAGTCCAGGAACCCTCCTCACAAGTTGTAAAAGAGAAGGAAAACGTGAGCTATTTGTCTTCCTTGCTGAGTTGCCCTGTCCATCAATTAACCTGTACCTTGTACAGCAATTGTGTTGTCTTGTATTTTTGTGTCCTCATTCTGTAGCATATTGCGGAATTCTCCTTGCTGAATCTCTGTCAGTTGTCTATAAACTACTGTGTGTCAATAATTGTCCTTATTCACCTCTTTTTCAGGCATGGAAGTTCCTGGAATACATCAAGAATGCCATCCTCAACCTGGGCAGGCTTAAGCTACCATCCTATGTAGATGTGTTTGATTTCCTGAACACCATCACTGCCATATGAGGATGTGGTGCTCATCAGTATACTGACCACGGAGGTGCAGAGATAAACGTGAGAAAATCAGATTCTACATGCCCATTTGGGGAAAGAGCTCAAGAAACTAAGTAGGAAATTGAAACAATTGAGTCCAAAGCGCAGGCATGGACTCAGGAATGGTAGCCAGGGGAGATTACATTGCAAGAATTTGCTGTTGGGCTTCCTGCCTTTCTTATCTTGCAGTGATGGACTTACCAGGGATATTGCAGACTGAAGATTGAGTGAACAAGGACATCAGTGTCTTCAGTGGATTCTCCTAGATGTCTGCTCTATTAGTGCCTGCGCACAGCATTCTTCATCTGTGGCTGCTGAAACTTTTCTGCCCTACATGTATTCTCATCCCCAGTTTTTGATGATGAGCTGGAGTTCGCTAGTGTAGAGCTGAATGTTATTGTTTTGGAAGTCACAAAAAAACACACAAGATCTTCAGAAACAGCACGGCTGAAGCCTACTGCAAATAGCCGAGAAAAGCCAGTGTACAATTGGTCAATGGAAAATCTCTACTATTTGAGAACTTTGTGAGTTGAAGTGGAACAGAAGGAGAACTATGTTCAGCCTTAAACAATGACTAGTATTTTTAATCACAGTTAAAATCAGTGAGGGTGGAACATTTTCAGCATTCCATCATCAAATCTTAAAAAATACCCCCAAAAAAACAAAACAAAAAAACACTCCCCCCCCAAAAAAAACCACTGCAGCACATGGTAATTGCTTTCCTTTCGAATTGAATAAAGTTTTTTTTGTTGATTGTGTTACTTTAATGGAACATTAAGATCTTATAATCTTTAAAGGGGTCTTTGAAAAGACAGGTTTGAGATAAACTTGAGTTTTAACTCTTTGATGATTCCACGTCAAGTGATTACTTTTCTGTGAGATGATAGAATGTTTGTTTAGTATCCTGTTGGTTCTTAAGGGAAAGGTGGAAGTTCTTGGAATAGGAGAGAGGAGGAAAGGTGCTATAAGATCTCAAAAGCATGAGATTCTGAAGCTGTTCAATGGGAGGAAGTGCTCAGCACCTGATAATTTGTTAGAGGAGATATGGAAAAGCTTGCAATCCTCCTGCTGCCACCCACAGTTCTAGTGATCATAGTGCTACTTGAGTCAACTATTGTGTGTGAATCCTTGTGCTGTCAGTCAGACCTTGGCACAGATAAGATTGTATTCTTGAAATCCCTCTAAAGTTAAAGAAATACATAGCTACGTAAGTGAATGAATCAAATGCTTTTACCGAATGTAACCTTTTCAAGCAGTATTGTAACAAGTACACTCCAATATCTATAATCCGCTTCCAAGGAGAGTAGAGTTTCACGTTGTTTGAATTAGATCTCTTTATTGGCTTCATTCATTTCTATAAACCTATGCCCCCAAAACATGTTCACCTTTGCTCGAATGTTCTTGGACAGTCCCATGTTTTTGCCTCTTGATCCATCACAGTTCACTTCGCTAACCCAAGTTTTGTACTGTTGGTCTCCACAAAAACAAATTCTGCTAGTCTTATGGAGATACTGAGGGAGAGTTCGACAATTTCATTCTCTTTATTGGTCTGATAGATAAGAGCATTAAGACTATCTGTGGCCCATCAGCAGTAGGTCTCCTGCATACAAGGCTTATCCTCTGAATATTAATATCATATTGTCTGATCCTTCTCCACCTGAGTGTACTAAATTGTTCTTCTCTGAAAAATGATTATTTAAAAATGATATTATAGGATACCATGTTCATTATTTTTTTTCTCTACCATCTTAAACTCTAAATCTTACCTGAACAGCAAACTAACCCTGGACTTCTGCATTACAACTGAAGACAAATGGGGTTGTACCAGTGTAAATGAGGGCATAATCTAGCCACTGAAATATTTATTATTGATGATACATGAGAGAGAGAGAGAGAGAATCCAACTCCTCTTTCAGATGCCAGGTTGAATTTGCTGTGCTGGCTGTTTGAGAGGGATAAAAACTTGAACAAAAAAAAAAAAATATGCATGGCTCATTAATTATGCGCACGCACAGTAGTGCAGAATTCCCACAGGAGTAGAGATTTTACTACTGAAAGGGAGAAATAGATAAAACTAGACTCGCTGATCAGGATATTCAGTAGAATAATATTGCTGTTAGTATTTGGCAATGAGATTCCCCTCTCCCCCAACTTCTTCTGAGAAATAAAAATGCTGCATGGCATTTCTGATTAGTGAGACATTTATATTTCAAAAGATACAGTAGGTGACTTGGGGAAATGTATGTGAAGTGTAGGGAAATTTGCTATAGAACACAGCACCCAGCATCACTAGGTAATTGAAATATAAAAATGTCTTGAGCTTAGAATTTAGTTTTAACCTTAATGCCAGTGAGTGAGCTGTGTGGGACGACAGCATATGTACGTATGTGTTCTTTCTAAATTCAGAACATCTCAGTGTCTCAAACAAGGAAGTTGGGGCATCTTGAGGAGCATGTGGTGGAATCTGCAGAGATTTTACCTGTCCCCACTTTATAGCAGAGTATTAAAAAAATTAACCAATAAAGAAGATAACTACTTGGACCAAACTTTAAATAAACTAATTGAATAGCTGTCAGGCCTTGGAGGCTTCTTAGATACAGGAGGTATGTGCCTTATTTTTGTGTGGTATGGTGTTTTAAGAGTTCCCACCTCTATTCAGACTGCAAGAAAGGCCCAAACTCTCAAGGAATTGGGCTATGCCCATGGGATGGTGGGTGGGTATCATTTTTAAAAATGTTTCAGTTTATAGGCAGTCTAGGACCCTGCTCCTGCAGATGTGTACTGTACTTTAAGCACATGCATAGTCCCATTGAAGTCACAATACAATATAATAGTCAATGGTTAAGTGTATTGTTCCATATAGTAAACAGGTAGGGGCTTAAAAATAAAAAGGTTTGAAATTAATAGATATCTAAAAAATTGAGTTAAATTGAAAATCAATAAGAAATAGACAGACGTAAAATTGACAAAGCAGGGGAACAATAGCAGCCTCTTTAGGAGAGATCTCTGTGGGTAGTTGTCTGATTGCAGCTCTTCCTGAATATCTGAAGTGTGGGGTGCTGCAGGGTACCATTTGGTCACTCTTTTGTTCAACGTGTATATGGGGCTATTGGGAGGACTAGTAAAGAGCCATGAGGTGTGGTGTTTTCAACATGCTGATCATACCCAACTTGGCTGATGCAGTTCAGCCCCTCAGCCTGTGTCTAGCTGAGATTAGGGCATGCATGAGAGTGAACTGGCAGAGGCTCAACTCAAATGAGAGGGGAGAGGTGGTGGGTGAAGTAGCTGTGGGAGATGGTAGAAGTCATATCAGTCCCTTTGACTGAGGGAGTGCATCTGCCATTAGTCACTAGGGTTTGGAATTTAGGGGTGATTCTAGACCCTCTGCTACTGTCTGACCATCATATTACAGCAAAAGCCCAGTCAGCTTTGTACCAGCTGCATCCAGAGAGGAGGCAGTGACCTTTCCTTTTGCATGTGGGCATTGCCTCTGTTATCCATATCTTTGTCACCTCAAGATTAGACTGTTGCAATGTACTGTACATGGAGCTATTCTTTAAAACCATTCAGAGACTGAAGCTGGTGCAGATAGAGGTGGCTCACTTACTGAATGGGGCATCTCATTGGGAACGCATGACCCCAGCACTCTGGGTTTGACACTGGCTGCCAGTTGGTCTCTGAGTAGAGTTTAAAATGTTCGCTAAGATCTGTAAAATTCTAACTGGCCTGGGGTCACCTCTCTCCCTGTGCCAAGCTGCCACGGTTGTGGTCAGCAGAGGCGCTCGAGCTGAATCTCCCTTGTTATAAAAGAGAAGGGGCAGCTGGTAGGCTGTTCTCTGTGAGGGCTCTGAGATCCTGGAATATGCTTGCCGCCTTGTTCAAAAATAGCCTGAATTTGGTGACCTGGCATGCTGCAAAAGACATCTGGTTGGAAGGGTTTTGGGTAAAGGCTCAGAGTATGCTTCCCACAATGATAAAGTGATGGGAAGGAGTAACTGTAGGTGGCTGGCTAAACTGATCATTTGATGCTGCTGAGATGTATAATTAATGGTGTGTTAGCACAGGGGTTCTCACAACTAATTTTTTTGTGGCCTCAGTGTGCGGCTACCAACTCTTGCTGGTGGCCGCGCTGACAATTTCCCCTAAAATACTTAATTAACTTTAGGAGAAACAAATAAATATGCACATATACACGTCCAAATCATTGTAATTTATTTATGTAGGTTTTTTTCAGACTCAGTAATAAAAATAATGTATAGTGTCTGTATTTTTTTACTGGACCTAAACGGAATAGAAACACAAATAAGGTGCTTTGCATGTTCTTCTGTTTCTGTTGTTGTTTCTTTTGCTTTTTTGATTTTTTTTTAATTTGCTAGCTAGTAAGTCTGCTGTTGTGAAAAGTGATATTTGTATGTTTGTTAATATCACTTTTCAGCAGACTTATTCAGCCTCAGCAAGTCCTGGGACAAATTAAATCCTGGATGAGGAGATGGACAGGGAGGCCACAGGGCCCAGGGACTATGGCGTGAATGGTGAGCCTGGGCCCAGAGTCTGAAGACCTGCGGCCGACTCCCTCCCGACCATCCACGGAAAGTGGGGAGTTCACCAATGTTTGTGTCTCTGGAGCAGGGCAGAGCCCAACCCCTGCTGGTGGCCCTGGGGGAGCGGCCACTGCTTCCCTTCCCCCTCCCCCCCATCACAGCCCAGGAGGATGTGGCCGCAAGAAAAGCCCATGGTGACGGCATTTGAGAAACACTGTGTTAGCGTGCCTAGAGCCCTGGATAGGTATCTTTTTAGTTATGTAAATGAAAATAAATTAGGGGATCCTTGCTTGGGGCAGTGGTGTGGCCAAATAAAATAAAATGGCTAGGACTACCTTGTGGTGGTGATCCCAGGCTGCTGTTGGCAGCCAATGCAAATTAGAGCAGCCTAATGGCTGCTGTAACTCAAGCTGGAAGACTGGACTGGCACAGAGTGGCTTCCAGGGTTTTTCAGAGATTTGGGTGTGAGTGTCCGTATTTCAGAGGGGTATTTCAATTGGATTTCATAATGCATGGGGGAAATCCCTTGTCGAAAACTGAGGTGGGCTAATTGTATACACGTAATGCTAAAATTGTTTTTTCCATCTTATATTGAAGATTTATGCAGTCTTGAGAGTTTAAGATATTTTGTTGGTGTTCTAATATCTGAGCCCAAATTCCTGGAAGCTAAAGTGTCATTATTATTATTTGTTTTATCTCATACGGGGAAAACCCAGGAGAAGTGGTGAATGGTTAGGGTGGCTTTGATTTTTAACATAGATTTTAAGAGTTTATTTGCCTTTTTGTATTCTTTTCTGTAACCATAAATGGAAGTTTATAAAGTAAGCCCATTAAAATTTTAGATTTAGAATGATGTAAAAAAGCAGATACCAAACAGGAAGATCTGGAAAAAGTTCGGTGTATTTTATTTTTGTAGCTCACCAATACAGTTTAAATTCTAAGAGAATGTGCCATCCTCTGTGTAATGAGGGAACCAGAATCCCCCCCCCCTTTTTTTTCTTCTATTGACTGTGCTGCTATAGAAATGAAGTACTAATATAGTCTTTTTAAAGGAAAAAAGGCATGAATTGAACATGGGGCCATCTGAATAGAAATGTGAATTAGAATAACATGTTAATCTTAAGGCATGTCTACACTTGGAGCCAGGGGTGTGATTCCCAATTTAAATAGCAATATTTGCACTAGTGCTCATTGAGCTAGTGGGCTAAAAATAGTAGTGCAGCTGT